GACAGGCTGCACTGATAACTTTAAAATATCAAGAGTTACCTACACGAAAATGGTATGCAAATCCATATATCCTCTACCAAACTTCTAAGATTGATGCTTTGCCCCTTTGTACTTTTAAAGTCACTCAATCTATCGGCCTCACTTATCTGCACTCGTTCGCGCTCTTGATATTCTATTTGCTCGCCTTTAACGTCCGAGAAGGGTTTGGGCGCATCTGTCTCCTAGGAAAGCCCGTTCCTTACTTGTGAGCATGGATTCCATAGCCCTAATCTCATCAAGAGATATGGGCTGATCCCTTATATACAAATTTTATCAGGCTACAATAATAGTTTCGCCCCGATTGCATCGCTTATCTGCCGCATCCTGTAACCAAGTGCTTAAAGTGATTCTTTCACTATCTGCAATGCTACTGCGGCATTTATGCCTCAAGATGTGCGCATAGCGGTTTTACACTATCGCTTCGTATATTGTCATTTTATTAGCACGATAATCTAATTTGAATGGTGTCGTTCCTTATCCCATATCATAGGCCAATCGGAGCCGTATTGGATGCACTTAAGGCTCATCGTTTTCTTCGATTCCTAAACATGCGAGTTTTATGTACGCTGTTTCTCCTGCTCTCAGGAATAAACGTTGATTGGCCTAAAATATCCCCCGTAGCACTCGCCGGAAGCCCGCTATTTATTTACAAATACGCCATCTTTGCTTTCGCAATACTCCATTGTATAATGGTAAAAGTTTGCCTCTACCATTGCCAATACCTAGTAAAGCAACAACACCCTTATTCTGTCATCCTATCTCTTCACTGAATTTTGGCGAATCTCGATTATTTATCCCACAAGTGTCTAATTTATTAGCCAATTGCTTTTTATTTATCTTATCACAGTGTAGCTTCTCTCCTCCATCGGGACACGATCAGGACTGCTTAATCGAATTGATGCTGTCAGGTGATTCTGATATGGCCTTGGTAGCCGAGTCACCTGATGACGCCATGGCTTGGCGCCTTGCTCTTGCTGAGACCAGACAGCATTGTCTCAGTTCCACCGGCACGGCACATAATCCACCGTCTC